GACTGGATTTGGTGTACGATTTCTGACATTTCCTGCCAGTTTTTTTTTTCCTTCCTGGCACTAAAAAAACCTCTCCCTCTTGAGTGGCTGTGGCTACCCAGGTTTTCCCATGGCCTGGATGTTTTGTATCTTTTGTCCCCTTTAGAGGGTTTGTTGCCTGGCAATTTAAGTTTTTAGAAACAGTCTTTCCTGTACTGAAGAGGTACACATTTCAGGGTGAAAAAGTTTTCAGGAAGGGAGTTTGCATTTTCCGGTTGTCATATGGGCAGGGCATTTTCAGGGTGGTCATGGGTTGCACGCCCCGTCTGTTTTTCCAGATTTCCCATGTCTGGCAGATACCAAGTGCATAGTATGTGCACAGGCTTGTTTCCGTTTGCCTTGGTTTCTGTGACTGTTTTCCCTGTTGGTGCATGTTTCCCTGTCTTTTCGTATCCTCCCTAGCACCAACAATGGAGCTCCCACCAGTTGTTTTTGGTAATATATCCTCACTATTGCTAGTGGAGTCCTCTTGTTTGCTTTTTCCTGTGGTATTTCTAGTTTGAAATATTGGTTTTATCTTATCTTTGACTACACTTGTTTCCCCACTACGGCTCTGTCCCCATGAGGTCATTTAATGTATTCCTCCTGCGTATAATTCCGACTACCTGGACAAAATCTCCAGCTTCACCATTACTGTCTCCCAGGACAGCACCCTCCAGCTTCCCCATTACTGTCTCCCAGGACAGCACCTCCAGCTTCACCATTACTGTCTCCCAGGACAGCACCTCCAGCTTCACCTTTACTGTCTCCCAGGACAGCACCTCCACTTCACCATTACTGTCTCCCAGGACAGCACCTCCAGCTTCACCATTACATCTCCCCAGGACAGCACTATCGCCCACTTTTAAATGACTACAGGACATCACCTCCAGCCTTACAGTTTCTGACTACATGGCCAGTATCAAGGGCAGTACCATTCAGCCCAGACTTTTTATGTTCCCATCTGTTGTAGAAAGCTTCCGGGTTGTCTATGAAAGCAGCTTTGATGTTATCCTCTTTTACTATCCTTGTGATTTTAGTCCACAGATTTTCCTCATTTGGGCATACCCAAAAACACTTCCTGTTTTAATACTGCTTGTAGCTAGTTCTTGGATATCTGCATATATATATATATATATATATATATAATATATATATATATATATATTATTTTATATATTATATTATATATAATATATATATATATACAATTACAAAAAAAGAAAAGAAGAAAAACTTTATAAAACTGGGTTGCTTAAATGTGCGTGGATGTAGTGCGGATGACAAGAAACAGATGATTGCTGATTTTATGAATGAAAAAAAGTTGGATGTCCTGGCCCAAAGCGAAAACAAAGCTGAAGGGGGTAGGAGAGTTTCAGTGGGGGAAATAAATGGGATTAAATCTGGAGTATCTGAGAGAGTTAGAGAAAAGGGAAGGGTAGCAGTAATGTTAAATGATCAGTTTTTGGAAGGAGGAAAAGAGAATATGAATGTGTAAATTCAAGAATTTTGTGGATTAAAGTAAAAGGTTGGGTGCGAGAAGTGGGTCATAATAAGCGTGTATGCCTGGAGAAAAGAGGAATGCAGAGGAGAGAGAGAGATTTTGGGAGATGTTAAGTGAATGTATAGGAGCCTTTGAACCAAGTGAGAGAGTAATTGTGGTAGGGGACTTGAATGCTAAAGTAGGAAAACTTTTAGAGAGGGTGTGGTAGGTAAGTTTGGGGTGCCAGGTGTAAATGATAATGGGAGCCCTTGATTGAACTTTGTATAGAAAGGGGTTTTTGTTATAGGTAAAACATATTTTAAGAAAAAGATGATAAATAAGTATACACGATATGATGTAGGGAGAAATGACAGTAGTTTGTTGGATTATGTATTGGTAGATAAAAGACTGTTGAGTAGACTTCAGGATGTACATGTTATAGAGGGCCACGATATATCAGATCACTTTCTAGTTGTAGCTACACTGAGAGTAAAAGGTGATGGGATACAAGGAGAATAGAAGCATCAGGGAAGAGAGAGGTGAAGGGTTTTTAAACTAAAAGAGGAGGGAGTTAGGGTAGATATAAAAACTATTGGAGGATAGATGGGCTAATGAGAGCATAGGCAATGGGGTCGAAGAGGTATGGGTAGGTTTAAAAAAAGTAGTGTTAGAGTGTTCAGCAGAAGTTTGTGGTTACAGGAAATGGGTGCAGGAGGGAAGAGGAGCGATTGGTGGAATGATGATGTAAAGAGATAGTAAGGGGGAAAAGTTAGCATATGAGAAGTTTTTACAAAGTAGAAGTGATGCAAGGAGGGAAGAGTATATGGAGAAAAAGAGAGAAGTTAAGAGAGTGGTGAAGCAATGTAAAAAGAGAGCAAATGAGAGAGTGGGTGAGATGTTATCAAAAAAATTTTGTTGAAAATAAGAAAAAGTTTTGGAGTGAGATTAACAAGTTTAAAAAAGCCCAGAGAACAAATGGATTTGTCAGTTAAAATAGGAGAGGAGCGTTTATTAAAAGGAGAGTTAGAGGTATTGGGAAGATGGAAGGAATATTTTGAGGAATTGTTAAATGTTGATGAAGATGGGAAGCTGTGATTTCGTGTTATAGGCAAGGAGGAATAACATCTTGTAGGAGTGAGGAAGAGCCAGTTGTGAGTGTGGGGGAAGTTCGTGAGGCAGTAGGTAAAATGAAAGGGGGTAAGGCAGCCGGGATTGATGGGATAAAGATAGAAATGTTTTAAAAAAAGGTGGGGATATTTGTTTTTTGGAGTGGTTGGTGCAATTATTTAATAAATGTATGGAAGAGGGTAAGGTACCTAGGGATTGGCAGAGAGCATGCATAGTTCCTTTGTAAAAAAGGCAAAGGGGATAAAAGAGAGTGCAAAAATTATAGGGGATAAGTCTGTTGAGTGTACCTGGTAAAGTGTATGTAGAGTTTAATTGAAAGAATTAAGAGTAAGACGGAGAATAGGATAGCAGATGAACAAGGAGGCTTTAGGGAAAAGGGAGGGGATGTGTGGACCAGGTGTTTACAGTGAAACATATAAGTGAACAGTATTTAGATAAGGCTAAAGAGGTCTTTGTGGCATTTATGGATTTGGAAAAGGCGTATGACAGGGTGGATAGGGGGGCAATGTGGCAGATGTTGCAAGTGTATGGTGTAGGAGGTAGGTTACTGAAAGCAGTGAAGAGTTATTAACGAGGATAGTGAGGCTCAAGTTAGAGTATGTAGAAAGAGGGAAATTTTTTCCCAGTAAAAGTAGGCCTTAGACAAGGATGTGTGATGTCACCGTGGTTGTTTAATATATTTATAGATGGGGTTGTAAGAGAAGTAAATGCGAGGGTCTTGGCAAGAGGCGTGGAGTTAAAAGATAAAGAATCACACACAAAGTGGGAGTTGTCACAGCTGCTCTTTGCTGATGACACTGTGCTCTTGGGGAGATTCTGAAGAGAAGTTGCAGAGATTGGTGGATGAATTTGGTAGGGTGTGCAAAAGAAGAAAATTAAAGGTGAATACAGGAAAGAGTAAGGTTATGAGGATAACAAAAAGATTAGGTGATGAAAGATTGAATATCAGATTGGAGGGAGAGAGTATGGAGGAGGTGAACGTATTCAGATATTTGGGAGTGGACGTGTCAGCGGATGGGTCTATGAAAGATGAGGTGAATCATAGAATTGATGAGGGAAAAAGAGTGAGTGGTGCACTTAGGAGTCTGTGGAGACAAAGAACTTTGTCCTTGGAGGCAAAGAGGGGAATGTATGAGAGTATAGTTTTACCAACGCTCTTATATGGGTGTGAAGCGTGGGTGATGAATGTTTGCAGCGAGGAGAAGGCTGGAGGCAGTGGAGATGTCATGTCTGAGGGCAATGTGTGGTGTGAATATAATGCAGAGAATTCGTAGTTTGGAAGTTAGGAGGAGGTGCGGGATTACCAAAACTGTTGTCCAGAGGGCTGAGGAAGGGTTTTGAGGTGGTTCGGACATGTAGAGAGAATGGAGCGAAACAGAATGACTTCAAGAGTGTATCAGTCTGTAGTGGAAGGAAGGCGGGGTAGGGGTCGGCCTAGGAAGGGTTGGAGGGAGGGGTAAAGAGGTTTTGTGTGCGAGGGGCTTGGACTTCCAGCAGGCATGCGTGAGCGTGTTTGATAGGAGTGAATGGAGACAAATGGTTTTTAATACTTGACGTGCTGTTGGAGTGTGAGCAAAGTAACATTTATGAAGGGATTCAGGGAAACCGGCAGGCCGGACTTGAGTCCTGGAGATGGGAAGTACAGTGCCTGCACTCTGAAGGAGGGTGTTAATGTTGCAGTTTAAAAACTGTAGTGTAAAGCACCCTTCTGGCAAGACAGTGATGGAGTGAATGATGGTGAAAGTTTTTCTTTTTCGGGCCACCCTGCCTTGGTGGGAATCGGCCGGTGTGATAATAAAAATATATATATATATATATAATATATATATATATATATATATATATATATATATATATATGTATATATAATTTGTGCAACTGTTCACCTAGCAGTAAAACAGGTACCTGGCGCGGGTCACATCTTAACCTAATTTGTGGGAAATGTTCAGCATAAGAAGCGGCTTTCTATGTAGTAGTATGTCAGCTGTGATCTATGTACCTTGTACATGTACTGGTAGAAATAAAGATTATTATTAGTAATATTAGTATTAGTATTAATATTATTATCATCTATGTATACCTATACCTACATAAACTTACTTACATCTTTATTCTAGTTGTTTATTATTCCTTTTATTCTTAGAGTGCGTTGTCTCTCTCCTCATCCCCCCCGTCTTATCCCTCTCCTCTCCTCTCCTCTCCTCTCCTCTCCTCTCCTCTCCTCTCCTCTCGTCTCCTCTTTCCATTACTCCTTTCTTAGCGTATCCACAATGAGTGGGAAGGAAGGAGGGCAGGACGAGGGTGACTATGTATAGCCTGCCTGACCTGACCTCACTGGAGTAATCTTTACGACGAACGAGGTATTGTGAGCGAGGTCATGACCCAAGGTGGTTCAGTCTAGCTCTGGTCTTGGTGAGCTTCCGTTGACCTTCCTTCAGTTGACCTTCCACCCTGTTGACCTCGCGGTTGACCTGCCACGTCTCAGTGTTATCAACAAGACTTCAGTACCAAGTAAGACAACTTAATAATCAACAATAAATTATTCATAACAATGTATTGAAGTTGTATTATGACCTGTGCGTTACTTCCGGAGATCATTACGCCGTAGGCCTAGTTCCAGAGTAGGCCTCCAGGCCTGATTGACCAGGCTCTTTAGAATAGTAGATACATGGCTCAGAGAACCAACAAGTTGATGAATGACACTTGGGCAACATTTGGGTATCTCTACTGTGGCTTCTTCAGTCCAATACAGAGATGATTGGTAGAAGATGAGGAGTCTGAGGTAATCAGTCCCTCAGATACCCAAGTGTTCAGCGGTTCTCTCACTTATCATCTCTTTAGCATAGAAAATACAGCTAGGCAATAATTGTACACGAGTGGAACAATGTGCTGAGTAGCGTCACTCAAGTGGAACAACGTGCTGAGTAGCGTCACTCAAGTGGAACAATGTGCTGAGTAGCGTCACTCAAGTGGAACAACGTGCTGAGTAGCGTCACTCAAGTGGAACAACGTGCTGAGTAGCGTCACTCAAGTGGAACAACGTGCTGAGTAGCGTCACTCAAGTGGAACAACGTGCTGAGTAGCGTCACTCAAGTGGAACAACGTGCTGAGTAGCGTCACTCAAGTGGAACAACGTGCTGAGTAGCGTCACTCAAGTGGAACAACGTGCTGAGTAGCGTCACTCAAGTGGAACAACGTGCTGAGTAGCGTCACTCAAGTGGAACAACGTGCTGAGTAGCGTCACTCAAGTGGAACAACGTACTGAGTAGTGTCACTCAAGTGGAACAACGTGCTGAGTAGCGTCACTCAAGTGGAACAACGTGCTGAGTAGCGTCACTCAAATGGAACAACGTGCTGAGTAGCGTCACTCAAGTGGAACAACGTGCTGAGTAGCGTCACTCAAGTGGAACAACGTGCTGAGTAGCGTCACTCAAGTGGAACAACGTGCTGAGTAGCGTCACTCAAGTGGAACAACGTGCTGAGTAGCGTCACTCAAGTGGAAACCTTGAATTATACACGGATGGGTCTGCCTACCTGGAGGATGTTCCGGGGGTCAACGCCCCCGCGGCCCGGTCCATGACCAGGCCTCGTGGTGGATCAGGGACTGATCAACCAGGTTGTTACTGCTAGCCACACATAGTCTAACGTAAGAACCACAGCCTGGCTGGTCAGGTACTAACTTTAGGTGTCTGTCCAGCTCCCTCTTGAAGACAACCAGGGGTATTGAAGATAGTCAGGGGTATTGAAGACAGTCAGGGGTATTGAAGACAGCCAAGGGTATTGAAGACAGCCAGGGGTCTTGAAGACAGTCAGGGGTATTGAAGACAGTCAGGGGTATTGAAGACAGCCAAGGGTATTGAAGACAGCCAGGGGTCTTGAAGACAGTCAGGGGTATTGAAGATAGTCAGGGGTATTGAAGACAGTCAGGGGTATTGAAGACAGTCAGGGGTATTGAAGACAGCCAAGGGTATTGAAGACAGCCAGGGGTCTTGAAGACAGTCAGGGGTATTGAAGACAGTCAGGGGTATTGAAGACAGCCAAGGGTATTGAAGACAGCCAGGGGTCTTGAAGACAGTCAGGGGTATTGAAGATAGGCAGGGGTATTGAAGACAGCCAGGGGTCTTGAAGACAGTCAGGGGTATTGAAGACAGCCAAGGGTATTGAAGACAGCCAGGGGTCTTGAAGACAGTCAGGGGTATTGAAGACAGTCAGGGGTATTGAAGACAGCCAAGGATATTGAAGACAGCCAGGGGTCTTGAAGACAGTCAGGGGTATTGAAGACAGTCAGGGGTATTGAGGACAGTCAGGGATCTTGAAGACAGTCAGGGGTATTGAAGACAACCAGGGATCTTGAAGACAGTCAGGGGTCTTGAAGACAGTCAGGGGTATTGAAGACAGTCAGGGATCTTGAAGACAGTCAGGGGTATTGAAGACAGTCAGGGGTATTGAGGACAGCCAAGGATCTTGAAGACAGTCAGGGATATTGAAGACAGCCAGGGATCTTGAAGACAGTCAGGGGTATTGAGGACAGCCAGGGGTCTTGAAGACAGCCAGGGATCTTGAAGACAGTCAGGGGTATTGAAGACAGCCAGGGGTCTTGAAGACAGCCAGGGATCTTGAAGACAGCCAGGGGTATTGAAGACAGCCAGGGGGTATTGAAGACAGCCAGGGGTCTTGAAGACAGTCAGGGGTATTGAAGACAGCCAGGGATCTTGAAGACAGTCAGGGGTATTGAAGACAGCCAGGGATCTTGAAGACAGTCAGGGGTATTGAAGACAGCCAGGGATCTTGAAGACAGTCAGGGGCATTGAGGACAGCCAGGGATCTTGAAGACAGTCAGGGATATTGAAGACAGCCAGGGATCTTGAAGACAGTCAGGGGTATTGAGGACAGCCAGGGGTCTTGAAGACAGCCAGGGATCTTGAAGACAGTCAGGGGTATTGAAGACAGCCAGGGGTCTTGAAGACAGCCAGGGATCTTGAAGGCAGCCAGGGGTCTTGAAGACAGCCAGGGATCTTGAAGACAGCCAGGGATCTTGAAGACAGCCAGGGGTCTTGAAGACAGCCAGGGGTCTTAAAGACAGCCAGGGGTCTTAAAGACAGCCAGGGGTCTTAAAGACAACCAGGGGTCTTGAAGACAGCCAGGGGTCTTGAAGACAGCCAGGGGTCTTAAAGACAGCCAGGGGTCTTAAAGACAGCCAGGGGTCTATTGGTAATTCCCGTTATGCCTACTGGGAGGCTGTTGAACAATATTCGGAACCGGAAAATTATTGTCGTTGTCTGTCAGTGTACTGGTGGCGACCCTGCTTGTCATGGGGGGGGGGGGGGTTGCACCGTCTGCTAGATCTTTTGTTTTCGTAGGGAGTGATTTCTGTGTTCAGATATGCGACTAGTCCCTCTAGGATATTGCAGTTGTAGATTATAATGTATCTCTCTCGCCTGCGCTCCAAGGAGTACTACAGGTCAAGCAACTCCAAGCTTGTTTGACGGAACTTTATGTGCAGTTAGACCTTTTTAGATGATAAAACAAGATACTTGTGCAGTATTTGGGTATCCTTATTCTGGAAATGTTTCACCAGCCAGTTGCTTCTTCAGTCCAATACAGAGAAGAACGGTGAAAAACGAGGAAGAGTTTGAGGTGATCAGTCCCTCCCTCTGTATTGGACTGAAGAAGTCTACCGCGTAGGCGAAACGTTTCAACAATAAAGATACCCAACTGTTGTACATGTGTTTTACTCACCTGTACTACAACTGTCAGGTAAAAATAAACTCTGGTGCAACTAATGCGACATTTATTGTGGCAACGTTTCGCTCTCCAGGAGCTTAACCAAGACGTAACTTTTCACAACTAACCCACAATACCTTGACTACAACAATTCACAACTAACCCACAATACCTTGACTACAACAATTCACAACTAACCCACAATACCTTGACTACAACAATTCACAACTAACCCACAATACCTTGACTACAACAATTCACAACTAACCCACAATACCTTGACTACAACAATTCACAACTAACCCACAATACCTTGACTACAACAATTCACAACTAACCCACAATACCTTGACTACAACAATTCACAACTAACCCTCAATACCTTGACTACAACAATTCACAACCCACAATACCATGACTACAACAATTCACAACTAACCCACAATACCATGACTACAACAATTCACAACTAACCCACAATACCTTGACTACAACAATTCACAACTAACCCACAATACCTTGACTACAACAATTCACAACTAACCCACAATACCATGACTACAACAATTCACAACTAACCCACAATACCATGACTACAACAATTCACAACTAACCCACAATACCTTGACTACAACAATTCACAACTAACCCACAATACCTTGACTACAACAGTTCACAACTAACCCACAATACCATGACTACAACAATTCACAACTAACCCACAATACCTTGACTACAACAATTCACAACTAACCCACAATACCATGACTACAACAATTCACAACTAACCCACAATACCTTGACTACAACAATTCACAACTAACCCACAATACCATGACTACAACAATTCACAACTAACCCACAATACCTTGATTACAACAATTCACAACTAACCCACAATACCATGACTACAAAAATTCACAACTAACCCACAATACCGTGACTACAACAATTCACAACTAACCCACAATACCATGACTACAACAATTCACAACTAACCCACAATACCTTGACTACAACAATTCACAACAAAAAAGATATCACGAAATAGCGAAATAAAATTAGCAAAATCAGATGAACCCCAACTCCCACCAACAGAAACAGCAAACAGACTCAATGATTTCTTCTCCACTATAGGACAAAACCTTGCCAATAAAATCCCAAGCTCAGATACCCCACCAAATGACTACCTCACTGGCAACTACCCGAACACACTGTTCCTAGCTCCGACTAACCCATACGAAGTCTCCCTTATTATCAACGCACTAAAAAACAAGGCAGGAGATTTAAATACCTTACCACCCTTTATATACAAAAAAGTGTCACAAGTACTATCACCAATCATTGCAACACTCTTTAACAAATCCATTGAATCCTCCACCTTCCCTACAGCTCTCAAAATAGCAAGGGTCACCCCGATCCACAAAGGAGGAGACCAAACAGAGTTGAATAACTATAGGCCAATATCCAACTTACACCCTCTCTCAAAAATCTTCGAAAAATTAATTCATAAACGAATCTACTCCTACCTTATCTCCCAAAACATACTCAACCCCTGCCAATTTGGATTCAGGCCTAATAAAAATACTAATGATGCTATTATACACATGCTAGAACATATATACACTGCAATAGAGAAAAAAGAAGTCCCACTGGGGATCTTCATTGACTTACGTAAAGCTTTTGATACAGTTGACCATGACTTGCTCCACGTAAAATTGTCACACTATGGTATAAGAGGACACTCCCTCAACTACCTCAAGTCATACCTCAGCAACAGAAGCCAA